GACTCGGAGGGAGGGGGGAGTGCAAGGCCGAGGGGGAGGGGGAGAGGGAGAGTCAGAGGAGGGTCGAACGCGAGCGTGAAGGGCAAGCGCCGGCGGGCCGAGTCTGTAGAGACGGACGATAACGCACGCGGCACGGGCAAGTCGCGCAACCCGCGCAAGACGGCTGTAGCGTGCAATTTCTGCCGAGGTCAGTGCTATGAATAGTTTTCGAAGTGTGATAACTGACAGCCATCGGACTTTAGGACGCAAGTTGAGATGCAACGGGGTGAAGCCGTCGTGCTATAACTGTACGGTGCGCAAGTTTGAGTGCGAGTATGTGCCGATCCAGAGGAGGAGGGGGCCGGGGAAGGCGCCCAAGGGAAGCCGGTCGCGCAAGGCCCAGCAGGCGGGTGGAAGTGGAAGTGGAGGCGCCGGACGGTCGGAGCCTTCAGGCTCGTCGAGCTCTAAAAACGCGGGAGAGAGAGGGCCGAGCAGCAATGTGATGATGATCCCCGAGTACGAGCTGGACGCGCTGGCGCCAGAGCTGCGGCCGTTCACGTCTGTCATGGCGCTCGACCACTTTGGGTTCGACGCGGCGTCGATGCCCTCGCTGCCTTCGCTGAGCCTGCCCCAGTACGCGTCGGGGGAGTCGGGGTCGGAGTACGTGATGGGGCAGCGGAGTGGACGGGGCCGGAGTCGGGGACGGGGCTCGGGAGATGAGACGGATGGAGACGGCAAGATGTGATGCTACGGATCAAAACTGGCGGCGTGCGGTGAGGCAGTGTGGATCGAGGTTCCGAGCAGTGTTCCCCACATTCATTCTGGGCTGTCTCCGCCAATGACAGATCCTCCTCTTACGTATCTGTTGCTAACCACTCTTTTCTTACCTGCGCACTCGGGGCGCATACCTACCGCTCCCACGCTATTTGTACCCTAATCTTCCTCCTCTGCTACAGAGCGATTAATTGCTACGTATATGTATCTAGCTCTAGTTTAGTCCGAATGTTGTAATTTTGCAGCGGGGGACCTTGATTTGTTCCGATTGGCTCGGTGGGAATTAGCGAGAGGGAGGGCATCAGAGTTTCGAAATCACCGCGCTTGCCTTGCGTGCGGCCAATCCTGCTTTCCCCGTTGTGGCCTCCGCGCCAGCCACCCTCGCCTTCTCTCCTATGCTCTCCTCTGACCATCGCATGGCCCCCGCCGACAGCGATCGGTCCCGCCTCCCAGGCTACCCCGGCGGTGCCCATGCCGCCCCCGCAGGTGACGCCCCCCACACACACCGCCGACACCACCCCTGCTCACCCACCACCACAGAGAGCTCCAGGCCAGAGGTCACCCTGCTCGTCGCGGGCTGCAGAGGAGGTGAGTACTCCCCACTTCCGCCCCGTCTGCGGGCCCACCACAGCCCCCCGTGAGCTCACCTCCCCCGCCGCTGCGCTCGGATCAGGCAAAACATCATTCCTCCGCCTCCTCCTCGACACCAGCATCGTCTCCCCCCGCACTACAAAGGACCAGCTCGCAAATGTCGCAAAATTCGTCCAGGGCTCCAGCAGCCACACGCCCTGCCTCCGCTCCGTCGCTCTCGACATCGACCACGACCCAGACGGCTCCGGCCAGTACCGCCCGCTCGGCCTCACCCTCCTCGACACGCCCTCTCTCGACTTTAGGGACGACCTCGCAGCCGCCCGTATCCTCGACGACACCATCCGCCACATAGACGCCAGGTTCGTCGAGGGCATCGAGGACGTAGGCGCTTAATTTTACCCTTCTCCGCTCCCCCGCGTCCCGCTCACTCCTCTCCCAACAGGACTGGAAGGCAAAGACAGGCGACCGCTACGTCCATTTGTGCGCCCTCTCCCCATTCCGTCCCTCCGTCCCCGCCTCACCCTCTCCCTCCCTAGGTGCATTTACTTTCTCGATCCGGACCAAATCGTCCCGCCCTCGGTTCCGGCTCCCCCAGCCCCGCTCATTCCCCGCCCACGCGCAGCCAGCTTCTCCGTACAGCCAGAGCACGAACCCGTCATCCTCGAGCCCCCCGTCACCATCAACCCCCTCCTTACCGCCCGCCCCACCCTCCCCCACCAAGACATCGCTGCCATCCGCCGTCTCTCCGGACGTGTCAACGTCCTCCCAGTCATCGCCCGCGCTGATATCTTATCGAATGATCGATTGGCCGCAGTAAAGGTGGCCATTCGCAGGGATTTGGCAGATGCCGGCATTGGCTTTGGGATTTTCGACACCGACCCCCCGCTGCACCCCGTCGACGAGCTCCCGTCAGCCACCAGGCCGGACTCGTCGAATGGTTATGGGCTCGCGAATGGCGCCCCGTCCGCGAGTATGAACACCAGCACACCGCCCACGTCGCCGACCAGCCCTCCGATCCTCAAGCTGCCCTACGCGCTTATTTCCCCGGACATGTATTCGCATAGCGACGGTGTCGCGCGCAGACTCTTGTCCCGGCACGAACTAGTCCAACAGTACACCCCTTCCACACACTACCCCACCCCAGCCGCCCAATTTCCCCGCGGCAAATTCACGCGCACGTACCGCTGGGGCTCTCTCGACGTCCTCGATCCCGTCCACAGCGATTTCGTAGCCCTCCGCACCGCTATCTTCCACCACATGGATGTAAGCGCCTTCACTTGCATCGCCTTTTTTTGATTTGATAGACGCTGCAGCAGTACACTCGGCAGTACCTCTTTGAAAAGTTCCGGGTTGATTACACCCATCACCAACGGCCGTCCTCTCGTCAGACCATCTCACATCTATCACATATGGGCTCTATCTCGCAGCAGCAGCAACAGCATTCCTCTAGACCGATCTTGGCTATTGACACTCAACCTACTCACAGACAGCCTATCCCTGTTCAACAGCAGCACCGCGACGTGTATCCGGGAGATGTGCGCCACAGTAATAATTCCGCACCCCGGCCGAGTTTACAGGACACAGCCTCCTCGGCGGGTGGCACCAGCAAACAGAGTGAGTAGTCATCATCCGCAGCCCACGTTGCCGAGTGAGCTCACCTTCTATCTTCTCCTCAGGGCCGAGCAAACAGCGTACGAAAAAGATCACCGTCGCGTGCAACTTTTGTCGCTGTAAGATTCTACTTTGCGGCGATATGGTGGTTTTTTGACCCGAGGAATTTGTCTAGCGAGGAAACTCAAGTGCGACGGTGGCCGGCCAGCGTGCGGGCAGTGCGTCAAGCGCAGCAACCCGTGCGATTACCAGCCACAAAACAAGCGGCGGGGGGCTGTTGGGCGGCAGCGGGCGAAGGGAGAGGAGAGCGCGGGAGAGAGCGACTCGGGGGGCGAGGAGGGGTCCCCGAACACGCATACAGGCGAGCCGTCGCTCTCGCCACAGGTGCCATCTCAACCCCTCTCGCGGCGCAGCTCCAACGTCGGGCGACATCAACATCATCACTCACATGATGGCGGGTACGCCCCGCACCCACCTCCGTCCTCACTTCCCTCCCTCTCTGCACTCAGCAGTGCCGCGGACCGGCGCGACCGGGATCGGGATAGGGACCTCGTTGGCGGCGAGCCCTCCTCGCGCCCTGGCTCCAGCAAGATGGACTCGGGCTCGGGCCTCCCCCCACCCACCAGCTCGTCCGGCGCGCGCAGTGCCTTCTTCCCCGACAACGAGATCCCGTCCATCGCGACGCTCGTGGAACCGGACACCCCCGCCCCGATGAGCGCGCCGACGCTGCCCCCGCTGAGGCCGGCGTCGGACTTGCAGGCGCAGCAGCGGAGGAGGTCGGCGACGGTCCCGGGCAAGGGCACGCGCCAGACGACGAGCTCGGGGCCAAAGGTCGTCGCGTGCAATTTTTGCCGAGGTGGGTGGTCCCTTTTTTCTGTTCTGTTCTGGAGAGTGGTGTGTTCTGGTCGTCGTGTTCTTCGCGATGGCGGCGGCGTTCGTGTGTTTCGTGTTTCGTGGCGTGTGGCATGTTGGGGGGTGTTCTCTTCCTTCCGTTGCAGGGTCGTGCATCCTCCATCCCTTCCATTCATTCATTCATTCCGAATCACTCATTTATTTTGGCTTTGCTGATCCTTCTCTCCTTCCCTCCCGTGTGCTCTCCCCTCTCTGTCTCTCTATCTGCGTGCAGCCCGGAAGACCAAGTGTGATGGGGCGCACCCGGCATGTGCGAGCTGTGCTCGCCGGCAGCTGGACTGCAACTACGCGCACGACACCACCATTGCTGCCACCACCGGCAGCGCCGGCAGCGGGGCCTCGAATGTGGTGCGGCCCAGAGAAAAGGGGGGCGGCGCACGTCGACGTCGTCGAAGCCGCCAACGACGGCCGACTCGCTCTCCCCGCCGTCCTCGCGCATGATCCCGACCCCGTCGACGGGGAACGACCCGCACGACCCGCGCGAGGTCGAGGTGTACCCAGGCTACGACGTCGACGTCGATTTGAAAAGGCCGTTGGACGCGTACACCGAGCACCACCACCGCGCGCCGAAGAAGATGAGGATGGATAACCACCCCGCCATGGCTGGCATACCGTAATCGATTGCTTTTTTTTTCTTTCCACACCTGTAGAATACTGTGCCGCTGTTTTTTGTCGT